CTGGGGAGAGGCAGCACACAGGCTCTAGGCACACCTAGGAGCCTGAGAAGCTAGGACTGTCACTCAAACTGCTGTGGTGACGGTAGAGTCAGAGACAAAGTTGAGCTGCTTCCCCTCTGATCAGGGTGGCTCTTCTCAGGATCTACTAAGTGCCAGATCTAAGAGCAGCTGGCTGGTGGAAGCTGCTCCAGAGGAAAGGAAACTCCCCCCATAGCAGTGGCCCTGCCTGTGGCTGCTCCCCACTTCTGAGACACTCCGGGCCTCCTGCGTGGGGCCATCCCTCTCTCGTAAACATGTCCCCTCCTACTCTGAGGAGCAGGTGCTGGCTCCATTCCCACAGGAGCAGGCATCTCTCCCACAGGCAAGTGTGATCAGAAGGTGGTAAAGAACTTTCCCTTCCTGAGGGGAGCAATTGTCCCCTTAGCATTTGCTTCTTGAAAGAAGAATGATCCCTGCACTGGAGATGGGGACCTAGCTCCCACACCCTTTCTGTCAGCTCAGCTTTCCCACTGCAGGACAAAACTGTGTGAAATGACGTGAAATGAATGGAACCTGCAGCCCAGGAAACCAGGGTCTGTCCCAAGGCAGGGAGTCTGCTTGGTGAGGCCACCTTATTATGTGTGCTTCCGGGACTTCACACGCAGGCTGCTGACCACAGCAGAGAGTAAGCTGCCTGCAAGCTGGGAACACATGGCACACAGATGAGCAGCCCAGGAGTGTGTTAGAGGTGGGGCCTTGGCAGGATCAAGGAAGAAATGGGGAAATGCGAGCTGTGCAGCCACCAGAGATGCCCTACCTCCAGCCACACTGCCTACTCGCAAGGACAATGAAATGTGACTGATCCTGCCCCAGGGGACACTGGACATTTGTGGCTATCGCAACTTGGGGGTCCAAAGGTCCCCAGCAGGATGGGAGCAGGTATTATTGGGCTGAGTCGGGACACATGACTGTAGCCACCTGGTGTTCCTCCTGCCCTCTGAGGGGCACTGCCAGTGCTGGCCACTATATCAATGGGTAATGAGGGTTAACACTCCAAGGGGTACCAGGAAGGACAGACACTCGTGGGAGTAAACACTATCTCCAACTCAGCATGGGCCTCAGTGTACATCTGCTGACAGGAAGTGGGGTGAGGCCGGTTTGAGTGACAAGTCTGGTTGATGAACTCAGACAGGTACCAGCCCTTCTGGCAGAAGGGGCAGGCCTGCCTCATGTATGAACAGGGCTCAGAAAGCTCCAGGAAGCTACTCTGCCCAAGGCTGTAAATCTAGGCAAGTTCTTCTCAAGGAGATCATATGTCTCTGGGATTTTATAGCCGGAAGGAACCCTGGAGACCCTCTGGCCTGCAGGGCAGTCAGGGATGCTCTGCAGATGGCTGGCAGCAGTCTTGGCAGCACTTGGCCTGGCCTAGCTTGTGGGAGGCTATAGCTACTGAGGAGCCCACCCTGAGCCCCCCAAGTCAGCTAGTCTGACTCAAAATACAGAGGTAAAGAGTTAGGGCCCAAGCTGCTTGCAGGGCAGCCCCTCTGCCAGCAGCACCCCAGGGCTAGGGGAGAAAGGAAGCAGTTATTCATCAGGTAGTCAGTCCCAAGGCTGCTCGGGCCCTCACCCCACACTGCCAGAGAAGGCCAACACCCCCCTCCCACCACCCTGGGTTTATGAAACCAGGGGCAACAGGCTTCCCTATAAGGGTAAAATAGCAAATGTTGTTTGGGGTCTGGGGCAGCTGACTCAACTCCATCACTGCAGGGCAGAAGTAGACTCAGTCACCACTGGGTGGACATGACTGCACCAAGGCCACTAAAGTTATAGAGGTGAAACTTGAGTTCCATATAGTTGCCACCATCATATGCTCTTCTTTTGATTTTTTTCCCCCAACACTTCAAAGATACAAACATCATGCTCAGTTAGCAGGTGGCCTGCCAGATTAGCTCCTGGTATCTTGTTTGCTGACCCTGAATGCAGACAGCTGACACTCAGATGGGCCAGCCACATGCAGGAGCAAGGCTTTGTTACCTAAGGGCTCCTGAGCACAAAGAGGACAGCAGAAAAAAAGACAACTGAGGTGGGGTGCGGGTTCCTGGGAGTCCAAAAGAGAACAAATAAACAAGCCAACACATCTTTCAGCAAAGCTAGGAAGCTAGGATTCTCCTCCTTGGCTATCTTCTGAGAAATGTGCTCAAAGAAACTGGCCCAGAACAGGAGACAGCAGGAGGTGTAGGGTCCTAGGCTTCTCCCCTCCCTCAGACCTTCTCCAGGACCTGGAGGAGCCCCAGATCCCCATCCAGCCTGAGCAGCTCCCCTGCCTCTGACAAGTTCTGTTGTTAAGGCTCCTCAGTTTGTGACCTGTGAGGAAAGATGCTCTGACAGCCTCTTCAGTCAGACTGCTTATGGGAGCTGCATACCCTGCCCTACTAAGAAGCCTCAGAGCCACCCACACTGCATGATAGCCATAGACACCTCGTGGCTAACAACATTTCCGGCCAGGCCTGACCACCCTAGGAGTACCTGAGCAGAGGCCAGGGCCAGGGGTCTCTGAGAGGAAGCCTGGCACCTAGACACCAGCCTGGCACCCCCAGCTTGTTCTGAGAGCTGAGCGCCACTTGTTCAGCAATTTCACGCTATGCCGCCTGACAATGTAAGCGTGGAGACCAATCTAGGTCTGCACGTCCCAAATGTCACTTGTTTGTGAACACATGGCTGAACCTAAAATTGCTTTTACTATCTGGGCACTCCCTACCACCCCCACAGCCTCAGCTCTGACAACACCTCTAGGACAAGCCAGAGGCCCAGTCTTCTCAAACTCTGCCAGGGGCTGGTCATGAAACCCACAGGCCACCCACCCATGGTGGCCATACTACAATGCAGGTGCACACAGCCACATGCCCTTACAAAACAGTGTCACTGAGATGCATAATTACTCCTGTAGATCAAAGGGGGAAACCCTAATTGAGGATCTCTCTGCTTTTAGCTAAGCCCAGATCTTCATTAAAGAGATCCCTGATTTTCTGAACTGAATCTGGGGACCATCTCTTGAGTCATCCTTACTACACAGCCCATTTGCTTTTCTAACCTGCCCCAAACAGCGAAGACAAAGAAACAAATGATGAGAAAGATAAAGGTTTGCAGTTCTTCCAGGGCAGCACTGCCCAGAAGAAATGTAATGCAAGCCACCCATGGGGTTTGAACACACTCAATGCCACATCAGAAAATAAAAAATTTTCCTTGGGGCCATGGTGTTTTATTAGGTCTAGATAGGTCAAGAAGATCGTATATGCTTCTCTTGGCCCTGGGCTCAAAATGAGCATAAGTTATATATAACTCACATAGCAGTTAATATGTTAATTTTTCTAATAACAACAAAAAAATATCAAATTTGTCTTAATAAAACATGATAGAACTTTTGTTAAGGTTACCACCCAAAGACAGTAATAAGCTGGTCAGCATACAGAGGTGGTCGGCATAAGGAACAAAGTCTACTATACTGATACGTACACATGGCGCATGTTCAGTCTATGAAAATTAGGTCAACTGAAGGAGGTAGTCAGTGTAGGGAGCTGGTCAACTATGGAAGTTCACTCTATTTTGTTTAACCTGATATACAAAAAAATATCAGTGTATACAATCAACACAAACAGATTATCTGTGGGATATTTTTCCTGCTTCACTGTGAATGGCTTCATTCTAGCTGGCCACATTTCAAGGCCTCTTTTGTAAAAGGTATGACATCCAGAAAATGCTGGGTGAATTGGATGACTCGGAATCTGGCCCTATGACCTCTCCTATCACCCTCCCTCTACATCCAGACCTGGAAAAACCTGCCCCAATCCTGGCCCTGGAAGAACCAGAAGGTTTTGTATTCAGGAGCTGGTGAGAAGTGCCTGCCTTCTCTCTGCACCAGCTCAGTGAGGGGACATGCTGTCCATGACACCACAGGGAGCCATGTGGTCCCTTGGCCAGTGTGAGATGCCAGCAAGTGGTCAGGCCCATCGCTGCAGGTGAAAGAGAAGGCCAGAAAGCTGGGCCATCCAGTGCTGCCCAGAGGAGCAGCCATGAGCCAAGCCCAAACAGCCTGAGTCCAGTCTGAGAGGAAAGTTCACTGGCCCATGAGGGGCAGCTGGGACAGGCACCCAGAAGCCTGCAGGGACTGGTCTAAAAGGAAGCTGCCCCTGCCCCTCTCATACCTACCTCTGAGGCCTGTGGTTCACAGGCCTGTTCACTGTCTACTGGACCTTGGAGGCCAACATGGGCTCCAGAGGATACCAAGCAAGGCAGAGATGGATAGGGCAGTGGCCAGAGCAGCCCCACCATACCCAGCAGCCCTCAGGGCTGCCCATCAAGCGGTCTCACATATTCCCCACAGTGAGTAACAGCCACATAGATGGATGCAAAGAGTTAAAGGAATTCAAGCATAAGCTCTCAGTTCGGTGTCTGATCTGACCAGTAATCATCTTCTATGACTAGGAATGCAAATTACCAGGAAAAAATCCATGAGTCTCCCTGCCTTTCCATAACCCCCAGGGACAAAGTCAGTAGGACACCCTCGGGTAATAGAGAGCTTGGCTGTGGGGGACATTGACCCCAGCTCTGACCCTGTGGTGGACATGCCCAGAAGGAAGCAGAGGAGGGACGAAAGCAGATACCAGAGTGGGCTCCTGCCCGGCTAAGCCACCCTCAAAACAGACGGGTCCAGGGCAGAGAAGATAGTGCTAGCTGAAAAGAGCCCCTCAGCCCTAAGATTAGAGCTGCAAAGCCAAGCCCAGGAAGCCCACCTAGGCCCTAATGCTGGGCAGAACACACCAGAGACTGGCCCAAGGCTCCCGCAGTTCACACAGCCTGCACCTCTCCACTCTGCTCAAGGTAAGCAGCACTCTAGGCATAAGCTGAGGATCCCAGAAACAGACCCTGGCGCTGGCACAAAACCTGGGCCAGCACAGGCAGGGAAGGGCCACCTCTTGCCCTCACTTCACCCGGGCCCTTTCACAGAGTCTGCAGACTCTTACCTGAGTGGCCACTTTGCCATAATCAATCCACCGCAGAGTGGCGAAGTTGGTAGATTCTGCACAGTTGAACCCATGATTGAAGCCAGCATGGTAGCCATAGGGAAACGTGATCATAAACTCCCCAGCCTCCTGTGTGATCTGGGGAGGGAAAGGTGGACAGTGAGGGAGGCGCAGTGGTTAATAGGATAGCCACGGAACACAGCAGGGATCATGGGCTCAACAACTTCATACCAAGAGCCAGAGAGCCATGCAGAGTCAAAGAAAACTCTTTCCAGGTAACTCCACAGGCTCTGCTCTGTTCAATTTCCCATTTGGCCAAAGAAGGACATATGGCACAGTTGGTCCACAGCTCTGCTCCCAGCTCCCTACCTGGGACCCTGTGGTGGCAGACATAGTCAGCATTTTGGTGGATATGTCCTATACATGAGAGACTGCTCAACCCTGCAACTGTGGGAATTTTCACCAATCATTTGTAGCAAGCAACAAAGGATCCTCCTTTGGAGGTGGTTGAGTAAAGCTCATAGCCACTGTGATGTGGCCCCCACAGCTGGGGTAGGTGGGTGGGAGGAGCTGGTGGCAGCTGCAGAGCCCTCTAAACTCAAGACAGGGATAAGTGCATGGAGCAGCATCCTGCCTTGTAGGAAAAGGAAGGAACAGTGGCATGCACACAGAATGCTGGAAGGCAGCCTATGCCACGACACCATCCCTCGCAAAAGAGACCAAGAAACACACCCAAGCACCAAGGGGGACATGATACCACAGATCAGAGCTCTGCAGAAGGCTCTGATATTTCTACATCCAACCCAAGTGATCTGGCCAATCAGACTCTGAAACAGAGGACCCCCCCCCCCAAACAAGGTGCTGGGATACATGTGACTTGGGTGGGGGCTCACAATGAGCCAAGATATGAGGCTTCTTGGAATAGACCCCTCCCTAAGACCTGGAGGAAATGGGGGTGGGGGGGTCCTCTACCAGCACTGTGGGGCTTCAGGCTCTTCCCCAGGCACCCTGCCACTGCAAGGAGGGGACACCCAGAGGACCACTCTAAGCACCCACCTGCTCTGCTGCTGACTGCAGAGCTTTTTGATAAAGCACTTCAAAAGGTGACACATAACAACAATGATGTTCCCCCCCTCTGTGCCCCAAGACTTGAGCAAAGTACTTCTTTGAGATGGGGCCATGGGCCTCATTCACAGATGAGGAGTCTGAGGCTCAGGGGGCAGAAATTACAAATTACTCTTCTGAAGTCAGGTGGGAAGTCTTTGTCTCTATTCAGCAACAAATATAACTCAGATCACATGTTGTTTGGGGTTCTGAATATTATATACCTATACCCATAGATCACCACCCCAAATGAACAGAACATTCTGGGTACCCTGGGCACTACCCACCAGCCATCTCCCAGGTAACGCCCACCCAAAGTGGGTAGGTGCACTGTCACACGGGTCTTTTTTCTGGAGGTGCACAGTGGGTGTCTTTCTTGGGGCATGTTTTTGAGATTTATTCCTACTGTTTGCTCCAATAGTTCATTCCTTCTCCTCAGTGTTGGCCATGCAGATACATCGTTACTTATTTATCCATCTTCTGTTGACATTTGGGCTGTTCCCAGTTTGGGGCTCTTGAAAGCTACTAAGGACATTTGTGTACAAATCCTCATGTAGACATATGCTTTCATTCCTCCTGAGTAAATATACATACAAGTGGTATTGCTGGGGCAGAGGGTAGGCTTTTACATTTCCAAGAATCTGCCATGTGGTTTTCCACAGTAGTCGAACGGCATTGCATTCATGCTGGCCTTTCATGGCCAGCATTCAGCCAGTTTTGACTTAAGCTTTTCCGGTGGCTGGGCAGTGGCACCTCCTGGTTCTCATTGCCTTTCCCTGACTCCTAGAGACGACAAACACCAAATCACATTGGTTCTCTTGTACATCTCCTTCCATAAAGTGTCTGAGCCTTTTACGCCTCTTCATCAGGGCATTCATCTCTGCATTCTTGATTTGCAGGAGTTCTTAGGCTCACTAATCTTTATTTATTCCTCTGGAGAGATGAGTGGAAATTGCTGGATTCACTGAAGTAACCAACAAGGAGCCAAAACTCTGGAGGGGGTGGCAGGAGATGGGGGAGGGGAAGTAAGACTTCTAGAAGCCACAGCATCAGAATCAATCAAAACTGACACAGCTTGGAGAAAAGCCAGTCCTTAAGAACACTATGATATTTCTCTTTTCAAATAATTAATTGCACCAATCAAGGGAAGTCAGTGTGCATTAAGTTATATCTTTAAATTCCTGTCCAAGTCACAGTTGCATGCATGGAGCTGATGGCAGGAAATGGGGGTGGGTGGGGGGACCTATGTGTGGCCCCAAGGGCCCGGCAGCCACCACCCAGGGCACAGGTTCTCTGAGACAGCTTCTACTTACCCCACTCAGAGCTCCATGAAATGAAGAGCAATTTTAACTAAGGTTTGGAGCTTTTTAAAAAATAAGCAGTTACTAATGTCCTATCCTATATGATACCCTCTCAGGCCAAGTAGGACACTCCCCTGCTCCCCCATAGGCCTGTCCCCTGCATGGTAGAGAACTGATATAAGGACACACAGTGTGGCACATGCCATGAGCCTTCTAGGGAATGTAGCTAGATCTCAAGATGCCAAGGCCGAAATCCTGTATGGAGGGGGTGCCAATGTAGGGCCAGGCGGGTGCAGACATTAGGGCCTAATTCAGCTGGCCTGACCCCTCTAGGAATTGAAGCCCAGAACAGATCATGTTCTTAGAACACGAAGAAAATTGTGTTCCTATAAGAAAACCTACATCGGCTCGGCGCCTGTGGCTCAAGCGGCTAAGGCGCCAGCCACATACACCTAAGGTGGCAGGTTTGAATCCAGCCTGGGCCCACCAAACAACAATGACGGCTGCAATAAAAAAACAAAACAAAACTGGGTATTATGGCTGGCACCTGTGGTCCCAGCTACTTGGGAGGCTGAGGCAGGAGACTTGCTTGAGCCCAGGAGTGGGAGGTTGCTGTGAGCGTGATGCCACAGCACTCTACCCAGGGGGATAGTTTGAGGCTCCGTCTCAAAAAAAAAAAAAAGAAAACCTACATCAGGGTAGCTTCACCTGGAGCCTGTGGTGTGTGTCCTCCACGTCACTGCCATCAACAATAATAAATAAGAAGGCGTTTGGGATGATGGATAGGCCATGCAGCCATGTAACCAGCAGCGATGGGAAGTGGCCCCACATGCCAGTCACCAAGAATTTGGTTTCTTTGGTGAGCTCTTGCAGTATAAATGAGGAGGTCAATGGCAGATTACAGAAATACATACTTTTAATTATTAAAAAGCTCCGCTATTGATCTGCTTTTTCTTCTAGAAGTAAATACCATTACAGAGATTTATAAGCGGAGCACAGAGAGTCACTCATTTGAAGGCTGCAGGAATTCTGACAAGGGGTCCATGCTGCACCTGAAAGGGATGTTCATCTTGAGTGTGTAACATCAGGGGAGGCTGCAAGTCACGGGGTGCTGCTCTCAGTGGCTGGGCAAGGGCCTTCGCCCTACAGGCATGAGGAGATGCTGCTTCCCCACAGGCAACAAGGGGTGTGAGGGAGTGTGGCTGTGCACCTGGAGCCCCCATCACCACTTGCAGCCTCTCAAGAGTCCTGAAAGCAGCCCACCCGGGGGTGTACAGGGCTGTCTATGGTTCAGCATCAGGAGTTTTGTATAAACCATAGTACAATTAGACACTGACCCCAAACCAGCCCCTCTAGGAAACACCATTCTGGAGAATGTTCTTGGCAAACCAGCCAGAAAATCAGTCTTTCTCACCTCTATAAGCAATGCCACAATCTGTCCAAGTTGCTCCTCAAGACATAATGTTGAAAACAGAAGACAAAGGAGAGAAGAGGAGGGAATGGGAACGGGCACTTCTCAGACAGAATCTTCCGCTATCTGATAATCACCCTCTGTTTGAGGCCCCAACATAAAGAATGAATACCCGACCTGAGAGATGATACTGTGGGCGGTTGGATTGAAACGTCAGAAGCAATTTCTGACTTGCTGACACTTGATGTTGAGGGCACGGAGTGGGGAGCCTTCTCATTGAACAAGCTCCCGAGCCTGACAAACTGCTCTTCACAGAAAATCTTCAACACCTGGGTCCCCCAGAGGAGCCTCCTCTCCTGCACAGCCTGTGGTGCTGCAGCCCAGAAGGCTCCAGGCATGTACCTCCTGCTGGACGGAAGTAGGGAAGCACAGCTGGCTCTTCTTGTCCTCAAAGGCTCCTTCATGGGAAGGAATTGCCTGCAGTGGACACTTGCTGAGCTGGGTCCAGAGGGCAAAGCCTGCTCCTGGGTCTCAAAGGCCAACTGGTGGGATGGGCAACTGAGACCAGGCTATAGCCTGGGGCCCACCTAGAGAAGAGGCCGGGGTGCCCTGCTTGGTGGTGCCCAGGGGCCCCTGGCAAGTCTGCAAGGCCAATCCTACCCTCTGCCCACTGCAGATCCTATAGAGGGGCCTCAGCACCACATCTGACATTCTGATTTGGTTTCCTTCAGGGGGAAAGAAAGTCAAGACCCCATACACACACACTCGAACTGTGCTCTATGCCAGCCTCTGCACCAACACAGGAGAGCTGGGGGCTCACCATTAGGCAAACTTAGCCTGCCCTGGGATTGCCATTGTTCTAAAACCTTCTCTGGGGTTTAAGAAGCCTGTCCCGTGGGGTGTTTGTGGCCCCTGGGCCCAGGTAGGGCCTGAGCCTGCCTGTACGCACCCGACTGAACGGGATCCCATACTTCTTCAGAATGATGGGTGAGATGAGTGTCATCTTGTGCCGCAGGAAGGCATCGCAGCCCTGTGAGCTCCCGGGGAAGAACCCTAGGGCAGAAAGGACAAGACTCAGTCTGAGGAGCCAATGCCAAGGAGTTCGCTGAGCTCTGGGAAGAGAGTGGACACACTGAAGCAAGGAACATGGCAGGGCCTGGCCAGGCCTGCGGGTGGGTTTCAGGGCCTCCGAACCTATAGCTCAGAGGGAGAGAAACACACAAGAGCTACCTTACAGCCACGTAATCTGCAGGGTCTGAGTGAATGTCCAGCAGTGTGGGTGGCCTGGAGTCTCCTCACTACAGGAGGAGTCAGGGACCCCCACACTGCAATAAGGCATGGCTGTGCATGGGCGTCCCCTCTGAGTTCCTCATAGACAAAATTGTCTACACTGCTATCTATGTAAGAGCACAGCCCTGGAAGAAAACACATGGTGTGGCCACCTCCCTGTGCACACCAACATTAGAGCCAATCCAGCCAAAACGAGGGCAGAGAGCAGTGCCCACATGTCCATGAACAAGTCTCTTAGGAAGAACCAACAATGAAGAATGAGACATCCCCAGTGGAGTCCAGCTCCAGCCCATGCCATGCTCAGGGGCCACACAGGTGTCCCACACAGGTTTCCTTGGACAGAGAGGAAACTGAGGCCTCGGCTGCCCCACTTGCACTCAGCTCCCAGCCCTGCTGAGAAAAGGCAGCACAGTTAGCTCCTGACCTAACCCTCCAAAGGCCACACAAAATGAGGCTAGACAGGTGTGCAAATGGGAACACTCTGCCCAACAAGCACACTTGCTCCAGAATTTAACTACACAGGGATGTTTCCAAATCACATATTAGCTCAAGTTCCAGTCAAAGATGAACAATTTGCAGTTAAAATAAAGTAGGTCGGGGGATTCCTGATAGTAGATAGTACACCCTACTCTCCTCACAAAGGGACCAGGGGCAGACAATGAGACCAGAACCCTCAGGATGATACACATGGTCCCTGCTGCTGAAGGGACTTCCCTGAACCAGAACCCTAGGCTGTTCTCCCAAGCTCAGCCATGTTCCCCTGGAGTTGGCACTGTGGGAGCCAAGGCAGGGAACAAATGGGACTCACATTCCCCTCAGGGGCCTCCCCCTCTGCCACCTGCTCTGCCTATGACAATAGCCAGGAAGGTGGCCTGAATACTTGCACAGGATGAGGGGCCCCGAGAGGCAGGACGATAGTGGACAAAACATGGATTGTGTGGGGCAGACCTGGGTGAGACCCATCTCCCCTGTATTAATGACAGGAGGCACTGGCCTGCCTTCCAACAGGGGTTGCTGCTCCCTCCAGGTTGCACCTGCATTCCAGTCCCCAGCACTGCAGGGTAGCAGAGCAGAACTCCCATGTGGATGACATAAGGGGGGTGTGCCACACGCACAGCAGACTGGGGTCCACAGGGATCCCCAGCCCTGGACTGACCCACAGCCATGGCTGGTTCTAGGGCCCCCTGGACTCCCACACAGTCCCTGGGCCTGGGTCTCCACGCCAACACACACCCTCATGGGTTGATATGCATGTGCCTGTACAGGTATACACTAAGACAGAGAATAGGGTGAAGGCTCCTCAATGCAAAGACACAATGGCAAGGTTCTGGAAAGCACGAGGGGTGAAGAGCTGCCAAATCCAGCAACTTTCTCCTGCACTGAAAGCATTTCAATTAGAATTATGATTGCCTGCCACCCGGCCCGTGGCCTCTCTGCAGTTCCTCTTTTTAATGCACAGTTTAAGTGGCGCTCATTAAAGCTCTAATAAAGGCACACATTTTAAGTGATTAGCACCAATAATGCGCCAACATATTAACACTCTCTCCCTGCCCCACCAGTCTCCCAGTGAGCCTGTCTGGAGACAGTTACTTCTTTTTCATATTGATTATAAGCCCATTCCACCCACCCCCACAACCCAATGCCTTACCCCCAGCAAAGTATGGAAAGGATGCCCAAGGAGGACTTGGCTTTCTCCACCACCCTCCTTCCCCCAGGCTCTCTAAGCCAAAGGGGAGGGCAGGGACCTGAGGGCTGCAGGGGAACTCGAGCACTTCCCACACCCCAGGCATCTGTGTCCAGCTACCTGGCCCTCCTCTGGGTCCCCAGCCTGACTGTCTCCCCAGGTTCCAGGGGCTGTTCCATCCTGTTAAGGAGTGACTTTGTGAGTCTACATTTTCCAAGAACTCACATGAAGGCACCCAAAGAACTGACCCCTTGCTCTCTGGCTGCTCTGTACCCAGGCCCTCACTGAGCCCTTTGCATGTACCTAAAAAGCTGACCAACTCTTTGGGTCCCGGCCAGACATCAGAAAGAGTCAGCCAAGTTCCAGGGAAAAGGAACACAGTGTCATCCAGGGGTGGCAGTGGCCTCACTGGGCCCCGTCTGCTGCCTCTCTAGCTGCTCTCAGCCTTCGCTTTCCTCACCTCATGGGAAAGGGCTATTGATGGGAGGGCTGGGAGGACTTTAAATGTAAAATCCTAACACAGAGAACACAGTAGGTGCAAGCAAGGGTTCCAAGGCCCTGGAGATATAGTTGCCAGAGAGTACCTGAGCTGACTGCTCTGTGATGTTTGCTTCTGTGGTTGTATAGATAGATGCAGTCGGCTGAATGATGGGCCCCCGAGATGTCCCCGTCTTGAACCCTGTAACCTATGAGTGTAGCACCTCACATGGCAAAAGAGACTCTGCAGAAGGGACTGGATTAAGAGCTTGAGATGAGAGGTCATCCTGGATGACACCTGAGGGGTGTCCAGTGTCCCCACAGGGTCCCTACACAAAGAAGCAGGAGGGCCAGAGGCAGAGAGAGACTGGAAGATGCTGCACTGCTGGCTCTGAAGCGGGGAAGGGATCCCAAGCTGAGGGATGTGGGTGGCCTCTAGATACTAGAAAAGGCAAGAGATGGGTCCTCCCTGAGAGCCCCCAGGAGGGATCTGCCCTGCCACACCCTGACATTGGCCTAGTGAGGCCCATTTTGGACTCTGACCTCCAGAACTGTGATAGAATAAACATGTATTATTTTAAGTCACTAAGTTTGTGGTTATTTTGTTACAATAGCAATAAGGAAACAATATAATTGGGGAAATTTTCTTTAACTTTTATTTTTAAATTAAAATGTGTATTGGAAATGCTATTTTAAAATAAATACAATGGGGGAAAATGCTTGGCTTTTATTTTAGAGCTTCGATATGTAAGTGAAATGGACCTTTGATAGAGCCTCTTTTTAGTGGCAGAATTTCTACTAGGAGAAGCACGGCCCTGAGACCAGGGTTCTCTTTGCCCACGGGAGCAGGGTCCAGGTCTCCAACAAGAGACCTCAGAGCAGCAAGAGCAGAGTCCTTGGCTAGTGTGCTAGGAGAGGTCCCTCCCTCCTTGCCCCCTAGTGGCTCTGCAGCCCTCAGCTGGGACACATTTGCAGAACAGACCAGTGGCTCCTGGCATAGCCTCTAGGATAAAAGATCTTATTTTTCCAAAGATTGTGCCCATCTCCAAAGTCAAAAGGCCAGTGGGAAGAGGGGGAAAAAAAGAGTATGGCGGATGTTCCTTGCCTCAAAAATTAGGGAGAGACACAGGATGGCAGCCAGGCAATCAGGGAGCCTGTACCAAGACTGAGCAGAGGCTTCTGGAAAAGCCCATGACCATCTCCGGGCTGCCAGGCTACCCTCACCTGTCACTGGAAGGGGAAGGATGCTTAGATGGGCCCTTGGAGTACTGCCAGAGCCTTCTAGGAGCTGGGTCCTTGCTGGTCCTCACCCTCACACCCCAAGTCACCCCTACTTGGTCAGCACGGGCAGCTGCCTCTCTGTCTGGCCACCTCCGATCTGAGGAACAAGAGAGAGATTCTTCTAGCCAGTCGTGTCCTTTAATGTCTTTCCAGGCACTTATGAGCCATCTGATGGTTCAAGCTTCTGCCGAGTTGTGATAGGGCAACTAGAGGAGCTGGGAGAACTGGGGGAGCTGACACACCATAAGTTCCCTCTACCTGCCCAGGTACCCCAGGGGAGGGGTAGCCATGAGTCCTCCACACAGCCCTCGCCCAGAGTGTCTGGCTGATTTCTGCATATGCTACAACCCAAGGATCTGCTGTTCACTCAGGGAATGCCCTGGAACCCTCTCTGACAAACCCTTCCAACTCCAAGAGTCCCCAGAGAGAGTCTGAATGTAGGTCGGGCCACTGCTGCCAGGGACAGTTGCTGTAGGTGCCTGGGCCAGCCAGGTTCCAGCACAACAAGGACAAACGGCCCTGTGGTCACTATACCAGCTTCACACAGGTGAGAGAACTGCTGGAGAAACTGTCTCCTCATCTAGACTGAACAAAGCCTTAAGAATTAGAAAAGGAGCTGTGCACAGTAGCTCATGCCTGTAATCCCAGCACTCTGGGAGGTCAAGGTAGGAGGATCACTTGAGGTCAAACAACCTGAGCATCTCTACTAAAATTAGAAAAACAACCCATCTCTACTAAAATTAGAAAAACTAGGCAGGTGTCATGGTGTGTGCCTGTAGTCCCAGCTACTTAGGAGGCTAAGGCAGGATTGTTTGAGCCCAGGAGTTTGAGGTTGTGATGACACCAATGCACTCCAGCCTAAGTGATAAGAGCAAGGCCTTGTCTCAAAAAAAGAAAAAAAAAATAGAAAAGGGCATAATGTGGTAGTAGTGTCAAGACAAAAACAGCCATTTCTAAGAAGTGTTACAAGAACTGAAAAACAGAAGTGTTCAGAGCAGCAGCATCCTGGGTGGAGTTCACAGAGAGACAAATTACACAGCAAAGGGGCTGTGCATCTGAACACAAGTGTGGAAGGAAATGAAGAAAAAGATAGCAATAGCACAAAGCATGCCGCTGCTCCACAAAATCAGAACCCAACAGCAGTGGAACCCCATGGGGAGCTGGCTGCAATCCTCGGTCCACAGGTCCCACCCGTCCAGCTCCGGGGTCCCAGGTCCCAGGGGCCCAGGGTGTAGACACCTACCGATGGCCAGCCGCTCCAGGCGCTTGCCGTGCTCCGGCGGGATGGCATACCTGCGAGAGAAGGGAGGTGTGTCAGAGGTGCCCGAATGTGAGCAGCCTTGGGCCAGCCTTGACCTTGGGGAGACCCAGAAAGTGTGTGCAGAGCAGATGGGAAATGCAGCTGTGGTTAGCGCCATGAGAAAGGGTTGGCAGTAGAGGGGCAGTTAGGACAGAATTTCAGGAGGAAGGCAGTGAGGAGTATGAGTGGGGACCAGGAGATGGTGGATGGGGACTCGGGCACTCAGGGATATTAGGAGTGAAGACACTCCCAGTTAAGCAGCACTGAACCTCAAGGAGACTTAAAAAAGGTAAAAAAGAAAAGAAAAAGCACTGGTTGGAATTGTGGGGTGAGAAAGAGTAGAAGGAAGTTCAGGGTCTCTGAGCTGCCAGCCGGTCTCCAGACCTACACCATCCCCTTCCCTGCCCAGACCCAACAGGGAAAAGAAGCTTTAGGAATGAGAAAAATTCTATTTGTCACCCACTTGGTATATTTTATTTTTACACATTTTATATTGGAAAGATTGCTGAGGCTCTGTCATCAATAAGAAAGATGTAAGGGAAAAGTTTGCAAATGGGGGAAGGAGGGTGATATCTCACTAAGAGTGCACACTGCATGCAGGAACCTGGACTCTTTCTGCCAGGGACCAGAGCCTCAGCAGGGGAGGGCAGCAAGATGCCCTCAGGCCACATTACCTGCCACCCAGCTTATCCCCAAGGCCTTGGGCCCTTAAGGACACGTTGAGCCTTCAGCCTCCTTCCAGGATCCTTCCACCACGGAGGACAGTTCTAAGGAGAGATCTTGCTTCTGAATAATAATGCCAACATCTCACAGTCCAGAACAAGTTATATCAGGTAAGAGACATGGGATGTGGCCTCTCTCTGCAGCCCTCAAAGCGCAGGAAGCAAGATAAGGAGAGCACAAAAGAAGGAAGACAGCCTAAGCTCTAGCTGCCAAAGCCCCATTCTGACAGAGGCATGTGATTTTTTTAATAAAACAAAAAAGGGGCAGAGGTAGGAGGGCAGATGAACATCATGTAGTCTGTAATCTAACAGGACACAGATGATTAATTTCAGGCCATGCACCCAGGGCCCTTGACCAAAGTGACCTAAGCACCTTCACCTCCACTGTTGTCAGAGAATTTTCCATCATCTGGGCAAATTCAAGGTTATTCTTTTTTAAATGACCTTTTATCATTTACATAAAGATGACAAAAGTTAATCCCAATCCAAAGTACCTGGTGGGATTAATGTCCCCCAAAAAGGGAAATGTAACACTCTACTCCTTCTGAGAAGATGCCAGGGAACTGAAGGAACTAATTCATGGCTCTGAGGCTGTGATGATTAATGCAATATCCCAGTCTACAATGCTGCTTTCACTTAATTACCGCCTGTAATTGGGAGTTGTAAAGATAAGATTAATTGAATTTGGTGGATGTTAAAAGTTTAATACATTCGAATGTGGTTCCTCTGTTATCAAAGAGTACAGGCTTCAGGCTGCTGGCCGGCTGTGCAGAAAAGCAGCCCCCAGAGAGATCATGGTGGACTCCTGATGGGAGGCCAGACAACCACAGAGACGTCAGGACTCTATTGCCATCAGTGCCCAGGAGCTACCTCCCACTACCTGGACGAACGGCACAATACAGCAGTCTTTGGGGGCTGGGTGCCCCCAAGCCCCGATGCCAACTGACATGCCACCCTGCTATCCCTAAGGACTCAAGGAAAACCTCAATATCCAGAAAAGGCCACCAGGCAAGGGTTCAGGGCCTTACAGACACACAGAGCTGCCTGCCAGATGGAGAGTAGTCAGTGATTTTTCCACACTGGGTTTGCACAAGAGCACCTGTGTTCTGCCTGAGGGACCAGCCCCCTGACAGGGAAGCTTTAGGGTGGCATCTGAGCCTTCTCTCCATGACACAGTTCTCTGGGTGCCCTGAGGACAAACACAGCACCAGTGGGCTGCCCACAGAGGCAGCAGCATGGACACAGACAGACAGCAGGGACAGTCACCACAGAGGCATCTCAGGGATCCCCAGAAAACAACCTTGGTGGGGTCTCCTACCAGGGCTCCCCAAAGAGTGAATAATGCAGGTCACCTCTGTCACGGCGCTGCCCAGGGCTGTGTTGGGTATCCCTGACATTTGGCCTTGACTCTAGAGGAAAAAAAAAGAACAGCTATTTGGGTTGAAAATGTTTGTTCACTAAACCTCGAGGCAGGAGAAGCATCTGTCTGGCTATTAGTGAGCAATTTCTCAGGGCTGTAAAACAAACTTGGTTTTATTGCCACCGACACGGGGAGGCAGTTTGTCTCACTCCCTGAGAGCTCAGCCCTCATCACAAGGTCAAACTTCATGGACAAAATCAATCCACTTTGCCTGTCTGTGAACCTAGGTGGCCTCTTTCTGGATGTGGCTGCACCACTTGCCCAGGTAGCAAAGGGCTCTTGCATGTTTTTGTAGCAGAGATAGCCATCCCAGGTCCTCTGACCCCTCTTCTAGGTGCTTGTTCATGTCAAGACTGGCCAGTGGACAATCTCCAGGCAGCACCTGCTCCAGGCCCCTTTCCTCTGTCCAGCTCAGCAGCCCTCCCACACACACCCAGCTCCCCTCACCCCATTGGCACCATCACTCCTCATTTGACCCAGTGGCCCCTATTTCTTCTGGCCCCACTGTTCCCTCCAGGGCTAGCCACATCTCATGTTCTAGAAGCCAAAACCTCCCAAGAACACAGGAGTCCTGGGCTCCTCCACTCTAGCACTTTCTGAATAACCCCCCACCACATTCTAGAACATTTAAACCAGAAAGTCACAAAGACTCTCACATCTCTAGCAGGAGCCATTGGAGCCGTATCTCTGGCCTTATGGGACTTCACAGGGATGAGCTCCTGGGACACAAGACCCATGAAGCCACACAGCAGTTAGGAAACAAAGGATGGTCAAACTCAAAAGCCCACAGGATGATATGCTCAAGGTAGCACAAGGATGAGCTGCCCAAAACATGTGTCCTATACGAAGGCCACTCTAGGGTAGAGAAAGACGAGATAGGCAGGCCCCTGGCCCCTCTGTAGGTTCCCTGTTATACTTTGCAATATTTTGAGCAAAGCAGTGATGACCCCTTCTAATTACTACCACCCCAAAAAGGCAAAGGTGAAAACCTGTAATCCTGCCCAGGAGGCAAGCTGAAGGAATGGGCCATCTCCCAAGGGTCCAGGACTCAGAAGTGGAGAACAGTTGAGGGGTGGAGTTGTCCCAGGGACACCATGAGGCCCTGACAGCTGAGAGCTTCCCTCTTCACAGTTCTCAACTGGGTCCCCTGGGTCTGAGAAAGAACCAGGGCTTGTGGCTTCAGGGAGACTGCTTGTGGGTCCTCAGCAGACTAGGCCTTAGCAGAGCAGAGGAGGGGATGGCTGGAGGCCAGACAGTTCATGTTGACAGAGCCTGAGCAGGGGAACTGTGAAATGGAGCTCTCCATAGATGGAAACTTGCCTCTGGCCAGCAAATGGGCCAGTTTCATCTTGCCAGGACATAGACCCAGGAAAGAGTCTTCCTGTCCGCCACGGAAGATGCTATTAATAGTGTAATTTTCTTGGTGTTTTGTTTATTCCCCTGGAATGGCTTGATGGATGTGAATAATTATCAGACTATAAAAGCCAGCAAATGTGCTATTTTCTATCGCTCTAAATCATCAAACAAATAAAGTGTGAAACAGCATTTTTGAATATAATTTTCCCCTCTAATGGCTTAGAATTATTATCAAGAACAATGAAAATAAATAAGCAAATGCCTTGTGAGTTAAAAATTAAATGAGTGTGTCAGGGAAAGGAACACAGACCATCTTGGGGAGCCGGGACCTGCTCAAGAGCCATCAGTTACCACGACAACAGTGAACAGCAGAGCTGCAGGCGATAGGGCCCAGCAGCCTCTCAGCACGGACTTCCTGCCCACCCCACTCTGGCCTTTGGCGCCCTGAGTCTGGCTTCTGTGAAACTGTGCCCCTCAACCACACTCTGCTAAAGTGAGTACTAGGGCCCTCCCTGACATGGATGAGGGGGCATCCCAGGGAGGGCTGAGTTGGGACACATGTTCCACATCATGCTGCTTCACCTGGTGCTCGCTGCCTGTCCAGCTGACACCCCAGAATCTGGGGACCCTGCCTGCCATGGCTGTAGCACTGCTGTATCAGACCCCAGCATTCAAGGCAAAGGTAGGGTTGGTGCCTCTGCTTGTCCTCTCCTAGGCCGTGGGTAGGCAAATCCAGAGGAGCTGCTGCCTCTCAGACCAGCCAGAAAACCCCCATCACAGGGCAAAGCTCACAATGAAGAATATGACACTGAGGCCCACCACACATCCCCTGCAGTTGCTGCTGCCATAGGCTCACTACTAAGCAGCATATCCATGGTGATGCAACCACTCCTGGCACCCTCTCCCTTCTGCTGCAAGGTCCACAGACACATTTGGGGCTCTCACACCCCAAATGCCCATCCTCATGTGGCTCCCTCAACTCCTGAAGAGGCCTGTGCCTGAGACCGTCTTGCTCAGTCTTCACAGTGGCTCAGAACCAGAAGATGAGACACCATAATGTTGGCATTTTTTCCTTAAGATTCATGCAACTTTCTGCTAGGTGACAAAGGCAATTGGAATTTCTTCCGTGGCCCAGCCTGACAGCTCACTAGCTCTCAGCAATTAGGTGCTGGGGGTGATAATGCTCACTTCCCTGCCCCGCCTCTGCCGAGGAACTGGTGCCAAGAGCAGGGGGCCGGCGAGAAGCCCTTTGGAGATGTCAGTGCAGCCCAATGCCTGCCAGAGGGTGAGGAAGTTAATTTCACAGTGTCTGCACAAGGTCCGTCTGGGGCCCTCGCCATTTAAAATGCTATCATTACCGACACCGAACAAGGAGGCAAAGCCTGCACACACCACGCTAGAAGTGCCCAAGACCAGGTGTCAAGTTGGACAGAGGCCACCTGGCATAGCAAGCTGCCCACACATAACCCAGAAGGGCCATGACAAATTCAAATGC